ACCGAGCTAATCTGTCTCACTCAGTTCTTGGGAAAAGCAAGAGGCTTTTAAGATTAAATGCAAATCACCATCAAACCTTGACACACACGACAATAAAACATCTCTGTTGTGTTATTTCCACAATAATGACATTGAACTGATGCATCATCTGCACCACCAGCTTATCAGGAAACAGCATCAGGGTTATGCAGCGATCACAAACAGGGCCGAAGCAAAACCCTGTATTGCAGAGTGTGAAAGACGAGGAAGTTAAGGTTCACATCTAAACCTGAATAAGCATCAGCTGCGAGACCAAACATGTATCAGTGTTTTATCAAAAAAAGTCCCCTGTCTAAAACCAATTTCCTCTGGAATATCCCTTAAAGTTAAAAAGCCACTCAAGACTGTCAACCTTCCTCTACACATACAGAGCATGTTTCCATTCACTTAGCGTGGTCTTAGCCGCTGTGTAAGAGTGCTGGGGGCTACTTTTGAAAATTTCCGGTCTCTAAACTCAGCTGAAGGCTTGTAGAAGGCTTTGATCTCTGCCTCAAAGACCATCGTCGGAAACCTGCGATAAATTTTTGCTTCTATTTTGTTTGTGGTTCAAAACAATAAGAATCGTCCAGTATTTGATGCCTGGCCGGTCAGGTCTGTGGCTAAAGTAGCCGACTGTAGCTTAGGGATGGACGGCTATCTATCAAAGCAGACACATCTCTAAACTTAAACCTTAACAAATAGCAAAATAAATAAAGTTATATTTAATCCCTTACAGTTGAAACTATCCACAGAGACTGAAGCAGATTTTTGTAGGGCTGTAAGCGGGCTTATTTCTGCTGCTAGTAAGGAGTTTTTAACATGGGAATCTACGGGGTTTGATACATGTGGACTTTCCCTACCTGTCCGGCAGAGATGCTGTGGCCGTCTCCTGGCGGTCGGAGACAGTCGGTGCATGCCTTCATGGCCCTCTGCATCCTCAGAAAGTTGGTTTTTTAAAAAGTGACTTCCTGTTTCTGCTCTGACTCTCACTATTTCAGTCTATATTTCTTTCTAGGATTTCCTGCTTTCTAACATCAGCTGAAGATTTGATTAACCAGCTGAACCTATACAATGACACACAAAGGAAGTGAGTCACAGGTACACATCCCAATACATTAAGCATGTGAACTTTTAAAACAATCAAACTTTTCTTTATTCTTAATATTAAACTGACTTTTTAAATAAGCTTCTGTCAGCTGCTGCCACCTCACCTGTGTCTGCTCATCAGTCTTTAAGGACATTTATTAATAGTTTAATGTCACTTTTCTAATGTAATGATTCCATATTGCCAGGTGCTCACTCCATGCAGGCAGCTTTTACTGCAGTTTCATGCGTTTAGATGTACCCAGGTCCTACTGCCAGTACAATGCTGCGATTTGGTTGCAATCTCAAAACTGTACGCTCATTATTAACAAATATATTTGAAATGAATTTGAACCCAAAACAAAAGCAGGTAAAGTTTTACAACTCTAAACTGAAGCTGCTGCACAGACACACTGCTGGACAATCAGAAATACAGCCCAGCTACAGCACCTGCAACACTCATCTGCACCTGAACGCATCCTCGATGTTAAAGCCTATTTGATATTTTCACGCTGACTTTGGCAGCAGCTGTACGAGCAGATTTCTCCTGCTCGTGATGCATTTCCAAGCAGGCGTTCAACAAAACTGTGGATAAAACAAGAGAAACGTGAAGCAGAAGGAGAGCGGGTTCATCCATTGGTCCAGGAACTAAGCGTCTCAGAAAACATCGAACACAAAAAATAAACTCAGTGTCGGCTTCTGATCCGTCTCCAGCTGAAAAGACCAACACACACCGGCCGAGTATCCTCCCGCTCCCTCGTCCCTCCGCCTCCTATTTCGTCATGGCCGACTGGATTAAAAGCACACGCCCCTGAGCATCATGGGAAACAATTGAACTGGCTGGCAGCTTGGAGTTTGGCAAAGAGGACGGAGGGAAAAGAGCTGAAAACGGAAATATTTGCTTTTCTGTAATCTCACTTTCTCTCTCAGCATCTGTGGCTGTTCGAGTGTTACTCTTTCAACCAGCTGTGTGTGTGTGTGTGTGTGTGTGTGTGTGTGTG